ACTAAAAACAGACATGACATGTTACCTATGTCATAGCCCCGGCTCAGAAAAAATTTAAAAACTTATATTGAACTGTGTTTTTGTCAGAGTGAATTAATTCAATAGTTGTGTTCATGTTACACAAAGTACGGGCTAAGATTTAAGCTGATTTAGGCTTATCTAGCATATTTGCATTTCGGCTAGACCCAATTGCGCCTACGCACAGGGAGGGCCAGTCATTAGCACGGGCTAAGGTGCAAGCTGCTATTTACGAACGAAAAATGGAGGACACGCGCAAGGTTCTATTTCTGCTGCTGACATGTTTCGTTCTAATTTTGAAGCAACGTGCACAGGAATGCGAGAGAAGACGGGCCCAACTTATTTGGATGCACAGAAACAGCAGTATACAACGGCGTAACAGAATACAGAGTTTTATTAATGCATGTCGTAGACAGCGAACCAAATTTATTTTGTCTACGATTGGTGCTGCTGTATGCTCTACAACAGCGACCCGATCAGTGTGGAAACGTGTACACTGAGCTCGGTTGTCATTTTGGGAATGAGAAAGTTGGATATATTTGATCACGTGCATAATGTTCACACCCAAAGGTCGCCACAGAGGGCGCTTAGCCCTGGGCTAAGCGTTCGCACACACTTTGTTAGCCCGTGCTAAGGGTCTAGACCGCATCTTACATTCGGATCAGATTTAACCCGTACTTAGCATTCCTTAGCCCGTGCTAAGCGTTCACGCACGTTTGCTTAGCACGGGCTAAGGAGCTGTGCGTGAACGCAACTATTGTGAGCTGTATTAAAATTTCATTATTAATTGTTCAGAATTGATGTGTTACAATTTTAGGGGGTGGGGTAAAAAAAATATTCATTTGGCTTTTCTGAGACAATTTATAACGTGTTAAACATATAATGCGATGTGCACTTGTAAACAATTATTACCTGTCCCTGTACCAACTTTGAACAAAACTGGATGACACATATCTGAGAAAAAGCTTGTTTTTTTAGATTTTTAAGGAAAAAAATGGCCTCCAAGCCGTAAAAATGTATTCAA